ATGGGAGCATTAGCTCATGGACCCATCAAGGCTAGAGGGAGAAATGGAGGGGAAAGCAGAGGCAGAGGTGAAGAAAGAGGTGGAGGAAAAGAAGGAAGGAAAAGAGGTCTCAGTAAAGAAAGTAGAGGTAAGGGAATGTAAAATTTAGAATTCGTGGTACACGGTTTTAATTTTTTAAATTCATATTCCTATTTGAAGCAATATTTGCCATACTTTTTGTTAAAATTTTTTATTAGAAAAGTATTTTTGGCCCATGTGATAGTGGTGCTCTGGGGAGCATGTGGTTCCAGGGATCAAACTCAGGCCTCCTTGATGCTAAGTATGGGTTCCGGCCTGTTGAACTCTATTTCCAAGGCTCCACTGTATACTCCTTGTAATATCACAGAGAATTAAAATTTACATAGGGAGTCTCTGGAGAGATGGTACAGCAGGTAGGGAGTTTGCCTTGCACATAGCTGACTGACCCGGGGTTGATTCTCCAGCATCCCGAACACCACTAGGAGTGATTCCTTAGTGCAGAGCCAGGAGTAACCCCTGAGCATCACTGGGTGAGGCCAAAAACAAACAAGCAAACAAACACTCCCTCCCCCTCAAACAAATCAACAATAAGTTTACATGTGGAGGACAGAGAAGCTTTACATCTACTTGTCTGCTTGTAACTAATAAAGGATACCTAAATTACTTTTGTAATAGTATATTGATTACTTTTACTCTTTTCTCTCACCCCAGGGATAAAATGTTTGTAAACATTGGCCTCACTATTTGAGATTTTAATAAAAAAAAAAAAGGTAAAAGGCCCTCCCGTTGATCATTGATTTGCTCGAGCGGGCCCAGTAACGTCTCCATTGGAGACTTTGTTGTTACAGTGTTTGGCATATCGAATATGTCACGGGGAGCTTGCCAGGCTCTTTAAGCATTTTTATTATATACATGCACTTGCATGCAAATTTGCTACTCAGAGTGGGACAATTAAAAATCCAGATGAGAAATATTCAGAGAAGCCCTTGTCATTGACACAGCACCTCCCAATCCTTATCCTTATTTCTGTGTGTAGGATCCTCTGACCCTTAGGAAGTAGGGCTGCATTTGCAGGGAGCCTTGTGTTGACAGGACTTTCCAGGTAATTTCCCATTTAATGGAATTAGCCCTGTTGCTCAATTGCAAAATTAAACCACTCATGGTTAAGGATCTTCTATCTGAGGATCAAGGTGCCCATCCAGCCCGTGAGCCAACGAAGAAGATGATTATTCATAGTCTATTGAATGCAGACCTGTGTGCCTACTAGTGCACCCTGTACATGCAAGAGGAGTCTGAAGGCCTTTGACACCAGCCAGGGAGTCTTCATAGATCCAGGAGATAGTCAGGTACCACTCTGTACCTGTGTATATTAAGTTGCCAGATGTGGTTCAGTCAAAGATCTATTATTCCATGTCCAAAAGAAATAGACCCCCCCGCCCCCAAGTTGATTCCTGCTTGGAAGGGGGGGAAAGGCTTCTACCTTCCAAGAAAGGGCTACATAGCATGTTCTTCTGTGAACTCACCTGGTTTGTCAGCAGATTGAGCTTCCCTTTCTCTCTCTCTTTCTTTCTTTCTTTCTTTCTTTCTTTCTTTCTTTCTTTCTTTCTTTCTTTCTTCTTCTTTTTATTGCATCACCAGAGATAACCAGTGTCCCCAGTTTTCCTCCCATCACCTGACTCTTGCCTGTGTCTATGGCAGCCACTTCTTTCTCCCTCCCTCCCTCCCTCCCTCCCTCCCTCCCTCCCTCCCTCCCTCCCTCCCTCTCTCTCTCTCCCTCCCTCTCTCTCTCTCCCCCTCCTTGATTAACAGAATAGTTCTCTATTACTAGATCTGTTCAACTTACGTTAGTCAAATAATCAGGTTCCCAGATGTATTCAGTCTACCAACCCCTTTTCAGAAACAAAATCATTCAGTGTGCCCCCACCTCAAAACCTGCTTTATTTAAGCAAACAAACAAAATGCCCTCCCCTGCCCCCTCTCCCCCCCAGTTGAGGATTTCCGTGGATCTTTCCAGTACCCCTTGATGCTAGAATGGTATCAGTCCCTTTGGGAAAAACTGAAAATGGAAAAAAAATAGATTCAATATTCTTTTTAATTTCATTTAATTTCTTTTTTTTTTTTTGGCCCACACCCAGTGGTGCCCCAAACTCCTCACTGCTCTGGGATCCCTCCTGGCAGTGCTCAGGGAACCATATGTGGTGCTGGGGATCGAACATGGTTCAACAAGACAAGTGCCCTACCCTGTATACTATCTCTACTGCCCCCCTTATTATTATTTTAACTTAAAAATATCTCCCCTTGCTTTGCTGAGATAAAGTTAATATAAGACTGTGTTTAGGTAGAGGCATACAACATTATGATTTGACAACTGATTCCGTTGTGAAACAATTACCATAAGATCAGTCAAACACAGTCATCACCCCCTGGAGATATACTTTTTTGTGTGTACAATTCTCAGAAACTTTCAGATATGCATTATTTTAAACTGTGGCCACCGTGTTGTTCAGTGCTTTTGTACAGTGAGCCCTCTGCACATGACAACAGGGAGAGAGAGAGGGTACTTAAGTGAAGATGATTTCTTCCTGGATATTCTTCAGCTTTTCATTTCTTGTGGCAGTGTAAGTATCAGCCCTGCCTCCTTGGAAGTGGAATGCTGCTGGGGACCAACTTGGCCTTCGTGAGCTTCGCTCGCCAAGCCTGTCTGTCTGCTGTGGGTTGGTTGAGGTTTGTGAGGAAGCAGAGGAAAGATGGAGTCTCCTCTTCCCCTTCAGGGAATGGTACCACCTGGTCAAGGGAGCCTGTGAAAGATCAGCTGTGATGTCAGAGGGCCGGGCTCCAGAGCCGTTAAGATTTGTTTTAGGTTCCCAGAGAGCTCGCTCCCTCACCTTCAACACAGCCCTGTGTATCAGAATCTGTTGCTGACATGTGAAGCGTTGAGCTAATTGAGGTGACAATGTCTAAGATATCAAGAGCTGCTGAAGACTTTCAGTTGGGGAATGGAGTCTTTTTTCTAGTCGGGAACTTTTTAAAGAGACCATAAAAACATTTTTAAGAAGTCTTCTGGGGGCTGGAGAGATAGCACAGCGGGTAGGGCGTTTGCCTTGCATGCGGCCGACCCAGGTTCGATTCCCAGCATCCCATATGGTCCCCTGAGCACCGCCAGGAGTAACTCCAGAGTGCAGAGCGAGGAGTAACCCCTGTGCATCGCCAGGTGTGACCCAAAAAGCAAAAAAAAAAAAGTCTTCTGACATGGATTCTTTCTCTTCAGGTACTAGGTTATCTCTCATCGAGGAATGAGTGGCTGATGAGCTCTGTTTTGCACTAGAACCAATCTCTGGAGAATGAGGATAAGATGGAATTATCTTGGACTCTCTATCCCCTGCAGAGTATGTCTTTAGTTTAGATTAGTGGGTCAGGCAGGGATACCAAATTCTAAAATCACTTTTATCACTGTGTAGAACTTGTTTCCTCTTTTTTTAGTGTTTCTACCATTTGTCCTCCTGCCTAAATGCACAGACCAGTATTCTCTCAACATTGTTTTTATCCCTCCCCCTACCCTGTTCTCTCTCTTTCTTTCTTTCTTTCTTTCTTTCTTTCTTTCTTTCTTTCTTTCTTTCTTCCTTCCTTCCTTCCTTCCTTCCTTCTTTCTTCCTTCTTTCTGTCTTTCTTTCCTTCTTTCCTCTCTTTCTCTCTCCTTCCTTCCTTCCTTCCTTCCTTCCTCCCTCCCTCCCTCCCTCCCTCCCTCCCTCCTTCCTTCCTTCTTTCCTTCCTTCCTTCCTTCCTTCCTCTTTCCCTTCCTCCCTTTCTTCCTTATTTACCTCCCTATCTTCTTCCCCTCACCCTCCTCTCTCCACCCCTTCCCTCCACTTTTTTTCCACTTTATTTAAATGCCGTGATTTACAAACTCGTTTATGATGATTTGTTCATGATGATTTGTTCAGTATTCCAGCACCAGTTCCACCACCACTGTCACTGTCACTTTCCCTCTACCATTGTCTATAATTTCGCAACCAACCCTCAAGCCTATCCCCTAGCAGGCCCGTAATAATTTACTTTATATTGCTTGTAACCACTGAATGGCTAATAGAAATGTTCAAAAAATGCTTCATTAAAGGAGAATTTGTGAAAATTGTTGTATCTCACCAGGGGGACATTAAGTCTTCGTCTGAAGTTTACTAAGCTGTATTGCTTGTTAAGCCTTCTGTGTTAATGTTTTTGTTAGTTGAGCTTAGTTGGATTCTACATTACATTCGCATCCAATCTGATGTGCTCCTACTGGGATGTTAGCCTTGCAGTGTTTGGAGATGTTACTCCAGAATATCTAGAGATATTTAACTGGGCAGTGAGCTTACATGGCAGGGGCAGCGGGGCATGGGTGTGGCTGCCATGACTCCTGGAAGTAGAGGGAGCTGGGGAGTGGTCACCCATCCCGACTCTGAGAAGACCCCGCAGAGTTTTCAGCCAATAAAACCTGGTGTATCTGAAATTCTCAGCAGGTTAGCATCTCTGTGGAGGTTAGTTGTGAGGTGATGGAATCTGTTTCAAGGCCTGGCAGCAGCTGTTGTGGTGTGAGCACAGCTGCTTAGGCATTGGTAGGGAAGAAACTTGACCCACCCCCTCCCAAGATTGCCCTGGAAGTCTCAGCCAGAATTGGTGTATTCAAGAGATTTTTGCGGCTAGTTGATCTCTTTTGAGTTTTAATTATGAGTCTCTGAAATAGGGCTGGTGGATGAGCTTACATGTTGTTAGTGTAAGGACGGGAGTGTTGAGGAACATGGTTGACTGCTGGGGCTTCTGGAAGTTCAGGGAGATGGGGAGGTTGCCCTCCCAGACTCCGAGATGGCTCAGAGTTTTCAATACCCGCCTCACTCCACTATGTACCTGAAATTTTCTGCTGGTTAGCATCTCTGTGGAGCTCAGTCATGAGGCAGTGGAGTTAGGCCAGTTGATAAACTCATTGTATTTTTTTTGTTTCTCCCTAGGACATCTTTGAAGATGCATTGGACACCATGTCTATGTAAGTAGTGAAATCAAAAAGTATGTGGTAAAGTTATGTTATATAAAACATTAAGTTTTATATATTACTTGCTCTCAGTTTTTTAGAATGATTAGGTTTATATATAAGAGTTTTGCCTTTGGTTGAATTTCCTATAAGCCCAAAGAGATTTTTGTGAATGGCATCCTGTCAGATTAAAAATGATACCACAGTTTGTCCAATTGCTATTGCTAGAAATTTTGCTATTATCTGATTGCTATTATCTTAAAAATATTAAACAGTAAGTATTTTTATATTTATAGTTTGCTATATTTAATTTATTGATTTTGGGGTCTCCCAGGCCCTTTCTGGCTATTCTTCATTCAAGAATTAGTCATAGTGTTAGAAATAACACATTATTTCTTTTTTTTTAAATTTTAAATATATATATATTTTGGTGTATAATTTTTTTTTATTAGTGAAACACCATGAGATACAGTTATAGACTTACAAATTTTTGTTCTTGGGTTTCAGTTATACAATGATCAAGTACCCATCCCTCCACCAGTGCCCATTTTCCACCACCGCGGGTCCCAGTATCCCTCCCATCCCCCATCCCACCCTGCCTCTGTGGCAGGGCATTCCCTTTTGTTCTCTCTCTCTCCTTTTGGGTATTATGGTTTGCAAGAGAGGCATTGAGTGGCAACCATGTTTGGTCTATAGTATACTTTCAGCATGCTTCTCCCATCCTGGGAGGATCCTCCCAACACCTTTATTTGGTGTTCCCTTCTCTATCTGAGCTCCCTTTTCCCCTAGCATGTGTGGCTGGCCTCCAAGCCATGGAGCAAAATTCCTGGTACTAATCTCGGCCACTCTTGGGTGTTAGTCTTCTATTTTGTTACTTAGAGATAACACGTTATTTCTTCTTTTTATGTTTTCTATACCTCCTGGATATTCTATGATGAACATAAGAAAGTGGTTCAAGGTAGACGCCCAAGAATGTGGTGCTGTTTGGGTTCTTTGGGGTTGGAGATCATCTGGGTCACCCCTGTTGTTACTGGGGGCTGGAGGTGGGAAGTACATTTAGGGTCACATTTGGTGATGCTTGAGTCCTCAGGGCTACACCCAGGAATTCTCTGGGGACCATGTGATTCCAGAATTGAACTGGGCGTGGCCATAAGCAAGGCTCGCACCTTTCTGTAATATCTTTCTAGTCCCTTTGTTCTATTTAATATCAACTCCAAAGGTTAACTTCATAGAGGATTTCCAAATTAAAAGGGATGTTTTTATTGCTCTTTATCTATTTCAATTTGTCTTTCTGTATAAACTTGAGTTACTAAATTACACAGAGTGACTTAATGCAATTTATTGTCTCTGAGTAATGAGGCTGAAGGCCAAGGTCAGGGTGCATAGCCAGGTTGGGGTGAGCGCTGGTTGTCTCCTGCCCTGCCGGCTGCCTGTCCTAGTGAGGGCCAAAGGAGGAGGAAGGCTCACGGGAGAGAGGGAGCACTGATGGGAGAGGATGGGAAGAGAGCTTTCCAGGGACTGTTTCAAAGGCATTAGCCCATCCTGAGGATCCTCGAACAGGGTACCCAAGTGACCTGACATAAGATTTATCCCCATGCACCCTCACACTGTGGATTTGGGGTGAGAGGAACAGAATTCAGTTAACAGCACAGTCAGGAGTTTTATCAGTTCATGTGACTACTCTATAACTGAATTGGTTTATGTAACCTAGCTTTTTTTTTTCCTCTTTGGGTCACACCCAGCAATGCACAGGGGTTACTCCTGGCTCTGCACTCAGGAATTACTCCTGGCGGTGCTCAGGGGACCATATGGTATGCAGGGAATCGAACCCGGGTTGGCCGCATGCAAGGCAAATGCCCTACCCGCTATGGGATGCTGGGAATGGGATGCGGGGAATCGAACCCGGGTTGGCTGCATCCAAGGCAACTGCCCTACCCGCTGTGCTATCGCTCCAGCCCCATAACCTAGCTTTTATTTGAGACAGTTTTCTACTTAGATCGTGTCTAATTTTGTTTAAAAAAATTCATCATTGTCATTGTATAGTGCATTGAATTTTCTTTCATGAGAATCCAAGTCTATGCCTCTTTAAATTATTTCTCAGTTTCTTATATATCAATAAATTAAAAAATATATGTGTTCTTAGCTTTTTTTTTCTTTTTGGGTCCCGCCTGGCAATGTACAGGGGTTACTCCTGGCTTTGCACTCAGGAATTACTCCTGATGGTCCTCAGGGGACCATATGGGATGCTGGGAATCGAACCGGGTAAGTCACATGCAAGGCATAGTGAGATTACTCCTGGCTCTGTGATGAGCAATCGGTCATGGTTGTGCTCAGGGACTATAAGCAGTGCCAAGGATTGAAGCCAGGTGATCTTTGCTTTACCCTCTGTACTATCTCTCTGGTTCCCTAGTCACTATTTTTATATTCGTTACAAATTTGTAGATTGTTCAAGAGTTGTAATTTTATGTTAAATATTTCTCATTTTAAAAACTAAATCATAATTCACTTATCACTTAATCACTTAATCCCCGTTATTCATCGATTTATTCGAGCGGGTGCCAGTAACGTCTCCATTCATCCCGGTTGCGTGCTAGCGTAGCCCAATGGTATCTGTTCGTTTTAGGAACATGTAGAGCCTCAAACCGATCATTTAGGGTCTTGACAAAGAAGTCTGACCATCTTATAGGTGGGCGTCCACGTGATCTTTTGATGTCTCGTGGAATCCAATCAGTAATGGCTCTAGTCCAGCGGTTGTCTGTAAACCTCATTACATGTCCAGCCCATCTGATTTTTGATGTCTTGGCAAATGAGACAGCGTCTCTGATTCTTGAGCGTTGACGAAGATCAGAACTCCGGATTCTATCTCTCATTTGAGTGAATCGTGATATTCCAAGCATAGTTCTTTCGATTCCTCTTTGAGAGACCCGAATAGTGTTCTCATCCTGTTTTCGTAGGGTCCAGGTCTCTGAGGCATATGTTAATGCAGGAAGAATAGTGGAATCAAAGAGATGTGCTCGTAGTTGGAGGTTCTTTGTCCTTTTAGTTATTTCTTCAATGCTCTTGAAGGCATTCCAAGCCGCTCTCTTCCTCCTGCGTAACTCAGGTGCCAGGTCATTCATCATGTTGATTTCTCGACCTAAGTATATATAACTGTTGCATTCGGAGATGGTGGTTCCGTTGAGAGCGAATGGAGTGTCAGGAACAAGGCTGTTTCTCATAAACATTGTCTTCGTAAGATTCAGCTGTAGTCCAACCTTTCCACACTCACGGTCAAAGTCCGCAAGCATTTGTGCCGCTTGGCTGATGTTTGGTGTTATTAGAACGATGTCATCAGCAAAGCGGAGGTGGTGTAGTTGCCGACCATCTATCTTCACTCCCATGTTTTCCCATTCTAGTCGTCGCATGATGTTCTCGAGGGTGGCACTGAAGAGTTTTGGTGAAATGGTATCACCCTGCCGAACCCCTCTCTTGATATGGATGATTACTTCTTTGTAGAATGGTGAGATCTTGGTAGTGAATCCGCAATAGAGCTCACGAAGGATCCTGATGTATTGAGTTTGTACGCCCTGATTGGCTAGGGCTTCCATGACCGCTTCTGTCTCAACAGAATCAAAGGCCTTCTTTAAATCAATGAACGTTAGACAGAGCGGCATCTTGAACTCCCGAGATACCTCAATGAGCTTGGTTATTGTGTGGATATGGTCGATGGTACTGAATCCTTTTCGGAATCCAGCTTGTTCACATGGTTGTCCTTCATCTAGTGTTCTGCTAATCCTATTCAGGATGACTCGAGTGAATAGTTTGTAGATGACAGACAATAGGCAGATTGGGCGATAGTTGCCAATGTCGTGGATGTCTCCTTTCTTGTATAGTAGTACAGTCTTGCTGGTTTTCCATTGGGATGGAACCTTGCATTCAGACAGGTAGCGTGTGAAGAGTCGAGCTAATGTATTGATGAGTACTGATGGTAAGTTCTTCAGGTGTTCAGGTCTGATCTTGTCTGGGCCAGGTGCTTTTTGTTTCTTTACCGACGAGATGGCATGTTGGATTTCGGAAGGGAGAACATTGGGAACGACATATCCATCATGTGGTATGTGGTATGTGGGCAAGTGGATGTGGCTATTAAAGAGATCTGAGTAGAATTCATGAATAATCTTCTCCATTGCCCTTCTGGAAGATGTGATAGATCCATCATGATGTCGGAGGGCAGTCATCTTGGTTTTGTAGTTGGTGAAGGACAGGCGGGCATTACGAATGTTTTTCCCAGCTTCTGCTGCATCTACCAGTACTGCTGCTCTCCTGTTTTTGAGGTCATCCTTGATGGCTTTTCTGCACTGTTTTGCCAGTTCGGACGTTTGCTTGTGGTTGCCTGAGGCACGTGCCACGCCACGTTGGCGAATAAGTTCAAGAGTGTTCGAAGAAAGACGGTTTTTTGTGGTTATCTCTCTCTTGGCATTCCTTGCACAATCATGGAGGTGCTGAATCATTCGATCGTATTCCTCATCAATGTTGTCAATGACGGCATCTTCCCATGTTGCTGCAACAGAGCCAAAGAGTTCCCAGTTGGTGGTTGTTCTGGGAGTCTTCTTCTTAAACCTTGCATTCTTTTCTCCTCGTTCTGTGAGGTAGAATTTTGCACGAAGAAGACGGTGGTCTGATCCCGTTTGGAATTTTGGGACAACAGCAACATCGGTTAGGCAAAACCGCCGATTGAATATGATGTGGTCTATTTCATTGTGGAACCGTCCATCGGGAGACTCCCATGTCCAACGTTTAGATTCAGCCTTTTGGAATTGTGAGTTACCATGGAAGGTTTTGGTTGACATGATGAACTCAGACAGTCTGTCACCTTGTTCGTTCCATTCCAGGCCATGGGTTCCGATGTGGAGTTCATCGACTGATCTTCTTGGTCCTATCTTGGCATTAAAATCACCGACAATGATCTTGTAGAAGGTGTGATCTTCTTTATAGAATTTCTCCAGCTCCATGTAGAATTTCTCAGTTTCTTTTTCACC